AATACTAATATATCTATTATTTATAATGTTGTGTATAAAAATATTTAACTAACCAAAATAATTAACGATACTAAAAAATAATTAATTGAATGAATGAATGAATGAATGAATATGAAATGAGTTAAAGAATATTATTAAATATGAATGAAAAAAAAAGGAGGGAGAAAAACGAATTCGTAAGTTTGTAGATTTATATTTAAAAAAAAATAATAATAAAGTCATGATTATCCCACATCAAAATTAATTTAAAAAAAAGTACATTATCATCATTAAAAAAAATAAACAATAAAATAAAAAATTTTAATCTTGTTTGTCCAAAGATCTATCAATTTTAGCAACTCTAAACATAGCCAACATAGTGTTAGCAGCTTTGGAGTGTATATTTAATCCGCCATGGAATGCTTTTGAGGCATCTTTTCCGTAGAAAGCTTTTAAAATTTTGGCACCACCAGGGTGACTTTCCTTGAATTCGGCGACATCCAAAACAAAATCATCAATCACGAACCAATCTTTGCCCTCGTCGTTTACAGTCTTGTTATATTCTGAGTAGGAGATTGCAGGTAATGAGCTTGGATCCACACCCCAATCCAATTTATCTTGTAATTTGTGAATTTTGAATAATTGCATGTTGGTTTTTGCTTTTTGTATTTCGTTTTCTGGGGATCGGTATACGGATGGAATTTGATTAGTGAACTTGTGGAAAAAGTATATAGACCATTTTGTAGGATCATAATCGAAGATTCTATATCCATTTCTATAATCTTTAGGGAATTCATGATGCTAGAGAAAATGACGACGACAAATAAAGAATTTATCAATATATTGAGATATATAATATTATTATAACATTCGTAAATGTCCAAAATATATCAATAAATATGCTTACAAAGTTATGATAACCTTCACCGCCTGTTATTATAGCAAGTAAAAGATTTCCACGAGCAGAGATTTCGTTTGAATAAAGTTGTTCACCGGTCCAATGTGCGAAACTGTTTATAGAAAATGTACCATGCCAGCTCAGTATGCGACAAATTACTCCTCCATATAAAAATCCACCTAATGCATCGTTCCAAAGTGATCCTAGGATTGTTGGAAGTATGAATCCAAAGAAAAAGGCTAATGGTATAAAATATTTATGTTGGTATTTCACAACTATTGATTGGATCGAGAAAGAGTGAAGGTGCGGATTTAGTTAGCAATTTGAATGTTAAAAATTAGCCTCTTATAAAATTGATGATAAAATTTTTACCTGGATCAGAAACTAAATCTGAGGAATCAATTGATTTCATTTTTGTATATCTTGGTTTTTGGAAAATCCATAAAATATGTGAAAACCAGAATCCTCTGTTTGAAGCATAAGGATCCTCATCGGTATCGGTGAATCTAATAATAATAGTAATAATAATAATAAAAAGATTTAAGATTTTTTCTTTCACACAATTTTTAAAAAAAAATTTTTTTTCTTTATATTATTCACCTGTGATGTAATCTGTGTCTTAGGACCCACCATTTTATTGATCCTTGAAAACCAAGAGTTCCCATGACTCCAAGAGCCATTCTAAGTGGTAGACGTGCTGAATATGCTCTATGACTCCATAATCGATGATAACCCATGGTAATGCTAATAAATCAATGAATTCACGTGAGATAAATATATATATATCATGCGAATATTTTCAATCGGTTAATAATTTAACAGAGACACACATACCCAAGACTAGCAAGTTGCCATAGAATAAAAGTGAGCCATTTTGTTTGTGAAGCGGGTGTATGAAAGATCAAAGCGTATAAAGCTAATAAATGAGTTGCAATTACGAATGCACCATTAGCGTACCATCCGTTCGCTTCGTTTTGTTTGTTGAGTTTTTGTTGTGGCTTATTAACGAAATTTTTTTCTGTTACTGTGTTCATTTTTTTTTATCATACAATTTTTAATCAATACAAAAATTTGGGATAAATAGTTTTTTTTTATAATATTGTGATTGTTGGCGGTTGTGGTGATGGTGAAAAGGGAAGTGAAGTGAAGGGAAGGGTATTTATATAAATATTTGGTAAAACGTGAAAATAAAATAAATATATTTTATTATTATTAATGAATTTAATAAAAAATTTTTTAGCTGGGCTTATTGGTAAGAATGCATGTCAGTCAGGTTATGATTTTGATGTATATATTCACCGTGGAGCTGGTGCTTACATATGTGGGGAGGAGACTGCATTGATTGAATCAATTGAGGGAAAACAAGGCAAACCAAGATTAAAACCTCCTTTTCCTGCTGATGTTGGTTTATTTGGATGTCCAACAACTGTTTCAAATGTAGAAACTGTGGCAGTAGCACCTACTATTTGTAGACGGTAGGGTAATGAATCTTTTTTTTTAGTAAAATATCAATGTAATAAAAATATTATTTATTTTTTATTTTTTTTTCTTGTTATAGAGGTGGTTCATGGTTTGCTAGTTTTGGCAGGGAAAAAAATTCTGGGACAAAATTATATTGTATTTCTGGTCATGTAAACAATCCATGTACTGTTGAAGGTAATTATAGCCAAGTAACTATTACTCATTATGTTTTATGTCATAAGTTTTAATACTTGTACAATTTTTGTTTATTGTAGAGGAAATGAGTATACCACTTAAAGATCTTATTGAGCGTCATTGTGGTGGTGTTCGTGGTGGTTGGGATAATCTTTTAGGTATTATACCAGGTGGTTCATCAGTGCCTGTGATACCAAAGCATATTTGTGATGATGTATTGTAAGTTATTAAAGTTATTATTATTGTAAAAAAATTTTTTTCTTGATATTTTAAATGGATAATAATAGTGATGATATTAATGATGTTTTAGGATGGACTTTGATGCATTACGTGATGTTCAATCTGGATTAGGTACAGCTGCTGTAATTGTGATGGATAAGTCTACAGATATTGTTCATGCAATTTCTCGTTTATCTGCATTCTATAAGCATGAAAGTTGTGGTCAATGTACTCCATGCAGAGAGGGTACAACTTGGCTTATGAGTATGATGAAACGTTTTGAGAAAGGTTATGCAGTGCCTAGAGAGATTGATATGATGGAAGAATTATCAAAACAAATTGAAGGACATACGATTTGTGGTATGTTTATGAGTAAATGAATTAATTCAATTTAAAACCAAAAAAGAGAATTATACAATTTATTGATTTCATGTTCACTAAAGCTTTAGGAGATGCTGCAGCTTGGCCTGTTCAAGGATTAATTAGGCATTTCCGTCCTGAATTAGAAGCTCGAATGAAATCTTATGCAGATGCACATCCTGATCAAGACTTGTCAAAAATTTCTTCTGCAGCACCTGGACTATAATCATTATTTGATATTTATTTATTTGATTTAGAAGTGATTTACGATTTAATTTTTTTAAAATAAATTTTTTTATCTAAAGTATAAATTAATTGGATAGTAAAGACTTTAAAAGTTATTATCATTGAGAACAGGAGCATTCTTATTGTGAAGAGCACTTTTAACTTACTCATTTTACTTGATAAAATTTGGAGTGGTGGGTTAATGATCCTTGAATAAGATGATTAGAACCTCATCTGATATGTTAATTAGTAGAAAGATCAAATTGTTACAGATTTTTACATGATTTGGCTGATTGTGGTATTTCAGGGTCCTGTGACAAATCAATAACTCATCATATAGAGAAAATGAATTTGTTAAAATCAACTAATGGATCCAAAAATAGCATAAATAAATAAAATGCTCATTGTAGGTAAATTTGTTTTCATATTCACTATAAAAATATGTAAAATTCACTTAAACTAATGTTGTAAGTAACTGTAATACACGCAGTGAGCCTGGATGTGAAGATTATTAGAGAAGAACCTGTGTATACAATTTTCTAATAGCACCTTTATTTGTATTTCTGCACCAAAGCAATAACTGCTGATAACAATTATAATTATTTTAAGAGCTTGTGGCCCTTGTATCTATGACAAATCTAACACTAGGCTTTTGCTCCTTGCAGAGGCCACAAAAAAAGGCCAGCTATTTCCACAGCCACTGGGCAAGGAGAAAACTTTGTACAAATAATTTGTAATGAAGTTGAATGGTTGTTTCCAAGCAAGAATAAAAAATTCAACTCCACATACAAGAAGCAAAAATTGGAAGAAATCAATAATGATAATTCATCACATCAATATTAATTTCACCCACACCTGTTAGAAGTAAAGGGGGCATGGAAGTTAATGAAACAGCCACACACAAACGTAATGAGGGACGGGGGAAAGGAAATTCAGGAAAAAATTTCAACAAAAATATGTGACGTTTCAAAATCAAGTGTATCTGTGAACCATCTGCAAGAACAAACCAAATCAATCAACATTTACAAAAGGCAAAGCACCTGAGCATTAATATAATGATGTTGAAGCAGTGAGGATGAGGAGGGGGAGGAACTCTAATTTTGGTTTTTGGTTTTTGTATTAAAAAAGATGACATTTGATACTGAAATGATAATTGATAATTGATAAGCTATGAACGAAGCATAAGAATAATTAGTAGATGATCATTTTTTGGGATGGGTATAAAATGAATTTTTGTTATGCATGACCCTAGTCTCAAAGCCATACAAATGGGATTTGGGATTGTCCCGTATTGTGAGATTGTGTCCGGATCTCACTAACATCCCAATAATTTATTTAATAATAATACTACTAATATATATTGAGTTTCAGTATAATTTGGAGCAAATGTCACAAAAATTGCCAATTGTCAACCTAAAACTAATCTCAAAAAGTAATTTGTGCACATGATGTTGGACCCCACTCTTGTATGTTTGTAACATATAATATTGGACCTCCCATTTGGTGGTAGTACAATTGTGTTAATTTTGGGCTCTGTAATTTATGATTAATCCAAAAACATATTCAATTGGTCTTTTGATCCCGTTATATGAAAAATTGAAACCTATAATTAAATATGGGTGCGAAATTCCTTTTGATTGGTTAATTTATGTGAAATTAAATTTATTTAAGAATTAAAAAATTGTAAATAAATATTATTATTAGAATTATAATCATCTTTTTAATTTTAAAAATAAAATTTTGATTTGTCTTTATTATTATCGATTTCCCATTCCAGCAAGAATATCCTATATATAAAATATAAAATAAATATTACAACTGTTTTACCATTATCGTTTTTTCTGAAAAAAATAATAAAATTAATTAATTACCTGAAATTTATTTGTATGACGCAGGAAAAAATCTCCAAATCGTCTACCAATTTTTGATTCAGCAATATGAATCATATCCTTATTTGTCAAAAAATTATTAATGAGAGCAAATGCACATTTATATAAATTAAGATTACTAATTAATATAATGAACTTACCTGTTTTAAACAAAAGTCAAGATCAGAAGTGGTAGCATATTCTCCTTCAAGTAATGTTCCACTAGTCCATTTTTGTTGACGTGATTTTTGTTTAACAACAAGCAATTGTGATCTAATAACAATAATAATTATTTATTTTTATTCTTTTGCAATTAAATTGTAACTTAAAAAGAAGTGACCTTTTATTTTTGCTCACCTTAATTTTTCAGGATCTGTTTCTAAAAAGGTTGCCAGCTTATCAATACTCATAGTTGTATATAATTTCAAATAAGATCTTAATGTTGGAATTAATATATGGTGCCGAGCATCATTGATAAAAATTTTTGCATGATGACGATGAGGTTCCTTTAAAAAAATTTTAAATTATTAGTTTTTCAAATAAATAAGGTTTAGCCTTTTTAATATTAAGCCATTATATTATTCACATTATTACTAATTATAATTATAATGGTGATTATAAACACATACAATAAGTTGATTCAATACATTTGGATCATCAAAATTTGGACCATTTGGTGAAATAAACTTTGGACAAGCATATAAAAATAAATCTTCAAATGTTTGAATACCTTCTTCACTATAAGATAATATAACCATTTAAATGATTAATAAAATTTACATGCATGTATTTGTGTATTTATGGCAAGTAAGCAAGTTGGTTTAATACTAACCCACGTTGCATTTTTGACAAATGTTCTCCATATTTTTCTTTTAAATAAGGTTGGATATTTTCATCTAATCTTGTTGGACATAGTGTGACACATATAGCCAATAAAGCATACATTTGATCACTTTTTTTGTTGATCTGTAATAAATTTTTTTAAT